AAGCGGGTGAATCCTCAGGGCTACACCTGGGACAGAAGTTGCCTTCCGAAGTTCTGGCTGCTTTTAAGGCCAGATTGTCTGAAATGGTATCGAGTCTCCTGCTTCAGCGGGGGGTTGGGCTAGAGGACCTCCGAGGTCCCGCCCAATTCTGTAATTCTGTGAAACGCCTGCCAGGAGGCCGCCCGGCTCAGAGAGCACCAGGGATCGCCTCTGCCCAGGGAAAAGCAGAGCCGGGGGGGGGGGCCCTAAAGCGCCTCCTTCCCCCCCCCACTCCCTCCCCCAGCCTCCTGAAGGTCCACCTGCAGCTGCACGGATTCAGCGTCTTCCTGGACGTGGAGAAGTTGGAGGCCGGGAAGTTTGAGGACAAGCTGACCCAGAGCGTGATGAGCGCCCGGAATTTTGTGCTGGTCCTCTCCGTCCAGGCCCTGGACCGCTGCAAGGGGGACGAGGCCTGCAAAGACTGGGTGCACAAGGTGAGGGAGGGAAGGAGGGAGGGAGGGGAACGCCCCCCTCCCCAAGAAGCCCCCACAGGGAGGGAGTCCATCCGGAGGCCGGTTTGGGGGGGGGAACGCCCTGCCCAGGGGGACCAGGCTGCTGGGAGGGGGCCCAGGGGGTGCTTGAGAAGGCTGTCCTTGCAGGAAATAGCCACTGCCCTGAGCGGCCAGAAAAACGTCATCCCGGTGACCGACCACTTTGACTGGCCAGACCCGGAGGAGCTTCCGGAGGACATGAGGGCCATCCTGAAATTCAACGGGATCAAGTGAGTGGGGGGACCGAAGGCAGCGGGGGGGGGGAGGAGGCCTTCCACACACACCCCCTTGGGCCGCCCCATGCGGACGGTTCTCCTCGTCCTGACAAAACCCCTTTTATTAGGCTCCTACTGTGAATTCCTCTCCTTCACATCCAGCAAAGTCTTCCAAGGGGGATTTACAACCACAGACCTTATCAGGCTTGGAGGGTTGCCAGGCCGAGAGCTTCCAAGAGCAATGCCGTAGCAGAAAACACCTGGCAAGGAGTCAGGAACAGATCTTCACCCTAATGAACTAATTGTCTCCTGCAAACACCCCCACACACCTTTCGCTCTGGGAGGAGCCATTCACCGTCCACCTGAGCCTTTACTCCCGAGTCGACCCTTGTTCCTTAGCTGTTCCCTTCTTCTGGCAGCTCTGCGCATGCACACACTGGGAACAGGCTCCAGCTGTTCTTCTTCCCCACTGATGTCCAACTCTGAAGGCAGCTGATAACTCTCAAATGACCCTGGTCCCATCTCTGCCTCTGATGCAGAGCCCTCGTCCGAGCCTCCCCCAGACTCCAGGACCGGCCCAGATTCCTCCCCAACCTCCTCACTGTCCGAGTCTGCCCCCAGCTCTGATGGCCCCTGGTGGCCCTCAACACAGACCTGGGCCCAGAGCGGTGGAGGGCAGGGACCACGAGAGAAGCCACAGCAGGGGCCTCCTGCCCATGAGGGAGAGGCCTGGCTTTGTATAGGGACGCCTCAACTTAGAATCACAGTTCAGCCCAAAATTTATGTTGCTAAGTGAGACAGTCCTTGAGTGAGTTTCCCCCCACTTTACAGCTTTCTGGCCGCGGTTGTTAAGGGAATCCCCACTGCTTTTCAGTTAGCCACACCGTTGTTAAGCCAACTGGGCTTCCCCACCGATTGCTCGTCAGGGAATCAGGTGACCCCGGGGACAAGCTGCGACCGTCATAAACCCAAGTCAGTTGCCAAGGGTCCGAATTTTGATCAGAGGACCGGGAAAAATGTAACTCACTTTTTAACCGTTGTAACACTCTTATTCCTGGGGTCTCCCACCTCGGCCCCTTTAAGACTTGGGGACTTCAACCCCCAGAGTTCCCCAGCCAGTTGGAGACCCCTGGTCTGCTGGCTGGGGAATTCTGGGAGTCGGTCCCCAGGCCTGAAAGGGC